ATTTTTCAATTTGAGTTCATTGAATCAAAACTGAGTGATCATAAAACTTACTATTTTAACTCCTGATGATTTTTGCTGATATAGTTGTAACCATTTATTATTATATTAAATTATTTATATTCCAACTTCCCTATGGCATTATAAGCATATCATGTCCATTAGTTATTGGACCCCACTGGATGTATATCCGGATAACCTCAATGGTATTGGGTTTAGCCAGTTCAAATTTCATTCCCCCTCAGTCGTATGGGGGTGTGAGGGAACTGATGGTCCATTGAGACGATAATATAGAACCCCAGTTCTATATACCCAACATGAAATCTTGATTTACTTTTTAAATAGTTGTTGCTCATTAATTGATCTTACGAGTTATTTGGTATTATTTTAAGCTTCAGTAGTTTAGTATTTTTGTGAATCAAGGAAGTGTCACAAACATACCGACCCATTGTTTGTTTCATGATAATCTGAAAATGATATGCAAATAGCTGATTCATTACTTATTCATGAAATTTCGTGGTTACGGTGCCAATATATACTTTTGGAATGAGTCAGTATGAATATTCAAAACGATTGAAATTCATTGTGATACGCTATTGTTGATATGCTTCCCGAATACAAAATAACAGAATACTGCTAATTTTGAGATCATCACATAAATAAATGATGGAATTGAAACAATCCAAGGTGATAATGTGACATGTGGGCTATTTCACGAGTTGGAATTCGTGGACATGTCGATTTCGAATGACATGTGGAAAAATGGCTATTGATGTTTTCACAGCATTCGAGAAATAGAAATTATTGTTAACAAATCAAGATGATAATATATACAGTGTTATCCCCAAAGTATGCACCATATGAGAAACTTATTTATTAAGGGTTTTTCGACAAAATGTTATTCTTGATGAAAGTTTGTGCATCCCCTGAAACTAAACATGCACTACGAAAAAATTTTTGCTAAAACGATAAATAGATAGCAAAGTTTTTGGTGCAAAGTTATTTTTATTTTTTGTTAACACCGAAAATTACTTAAAATTATAACATATATTCTTGTACATTTCAGGTATAGTTTTCTATGGAACGGCAGATTCCCATTACTATGATGTTAAATGAATAAAATCTACTTGTAACTTAATTACTTTGTTAATATCTTTTGAATAACGATCTTAAAAGGTAACGTAGTGTTTTGAAAGGTCACATAAGAGCAGTTTGATCTAGTGCTAAATTGAAACGTAACATTTTCTATGTGCAAAATTTCGAACACTTCGTTAAAGATATGATTTTCTTCTAGAAGATGATTTGAATGTGTTGAATTTGTTTTCTCACTATTCAGAAAATCAAGAACTTCAGGGTAAGATTAACAAACTGAATGATTATCAAAACTTTCCACAAATATAAATACTTTAGTGAAATTCAAATCTTCGAAGAAGTGAAGTGAATTCGCCCTTTTTATATTTTTATTGAACTCCTTTATTTAGCTTGCCCTGTTCGTTTGTTTATTTACTTATTTGTTTGGGCCAAATTTAGTAACTGAAGTTTAACCCCTTTCCTGTTGACAGACGGATTTGATATTTGGTACACGTATTTAATTTTGATGACAATACAATTTAATACATTTTGTATCACTGTAAATCCAAGATGGCCGTCGCTACAAAATGAGAGATTGCATATTTTTTCACAACTACCTCAATGTGGATATCAAATGACAGGGCTTGTCTAGTAGAATAGTGATACACTTTGGAAAAGATGCATATTCAAGATTGGCGCAACTATAAAATGACGAATTTTATATTATTTCACAAAGACCTCAATATGGGTATCAATGACTTGGAGTGATGACTTGGTTTGACTTTGTTTCTTCCATAGGTTTCGAATAATAGTAGAATCATATCAGAGAAAAGAAGTCCGAACTAATGAAATTCATTTTCTGCGATGTTATGCTCACTGAGTCCACTCAATATCATAATCAGCTAATGACACTATCATTAGTGCGAGCCATATTTTTCTCACACACTACTTCCTCTCTGTCAACGCTGAGTCAACTTATAAAATCAGACTACTCGATAAATTACTAATAGTGTGAATCAAGTCTTCAGAATGAAAAATATATTGACAATTTTTGTTTTCTTGATATTCTTGGTAAGCAACTCAAAATATTTTTTTGGTAAAAAATAAATGAATTTTAGGGGATTTGACTATTATTAATATCAATATTCACCTCAAAAATTAGTATAAACGATAAACAAAACAATCATTTCCACTAGTTCTCTGAAGTGTGCTAGAATTTAAAATGCTTTTTGCTTTGAAAAATAAGCCCCATCAGGCTAGCATGGCGAATCCAGCAAAATTGCAAAAAAATACATCAATTAGTAGCTAAATATTAGGTAATTAGTTGCCAAAACAACGATTTTGTTGCTCGTGTCCATCCCTAGAAATAGCAAATAATGCTATCGTGATGTAAAGGTAGCAAGGTGACTCAATAAATTATATACTTTTTCTTTGATCTTTACAGAAGATTTAGTTACTATTTAGTTGCTAAACCTTAGATATAGCGAAACATTTTTAAATATTTTTTTTTAATTTTTTCTGAACTTGCTATCTTGAAATTGGTTTTTCCTGGAATTAAAAAAGTTCTGAATTTGTTTCTCACCAAGAGTAAACTTAAATACACCTTGAGTATCAGCAACAAAATAATTGAAACCGATCGGCCGATTTTGATTTTTTTATTCTCCACGTTCTTGTTATCTTGAAACTGGTTTTCCTTAGAATGAAAAGTGTTTCTAATTTGTTGCTCACCAGGAGTATACTCAAATACACCTTGAGTATCAGCAACAACAATAGTTGAAACCGATGGGCCGATTTTAAATTTATTTTTCATTTTCCACGTTCTTGAGACTGATTTTCCTGAGAATAAAAAGTGTTTCAAATTTGTTGCTCATCAGGAGGGTACTGAAGTACACTCCGAGAACCAGCAACAACAATAGTTGGTCTTGATCGGCTGATTCTTGATATTTTTTTAAATTCCCTGTTCTTGCTATATTGAAAATGTTTTTTTCCGGAATACAGTGTTTTTTGAATTTGTTGCTTACCAGGAGTATACTCAAATACACCTTCGGTATCAGCAACAAAATAGTTGAAACGGATCGGCTAATTTTCAATTTTTTTTTCATTTAAAGGTCCTTGGCAGCAGCCATCATACCACTCTCCTCAGCAATCTACGGTATTAATCAGATAAAAAAATGATGAAATTGTTGGGCGTCGTATTTGCATATTCTCTCAGGTTACGGTACGCCCAACGATCGCATTATTTATTTATCTGATCAATACCGTAGATTGCTTAGGAGAGTGGTGTGATGACTGCTACCTAGGACCTTGCGAATTAGTTTTCAGTTTTTAGTATACATTATCTACATCATTATCATATTTTTTTTTCAATAAAGTCGTTAACATTTTTTTTATTTTAGGGAATGTTCAAAATCATTTGTGATTTGGTTTTCTCAGAAGATATGCCATACCTGGTGCCATAATTATGTGAGCTCCAATTAGATTCAAAAGATGGGTTGATGTTGTTTTTTAAATACATGACATATTTGAAAATATTTTGGACCAACAAATATTGGTGTACAATCAATTCCGAAAACTAGTCTTATGATTATTCGTTTCTGCAGAAAATAGATTCTGACAACATTTCTCGTTCTTAGACAACTCCTGCAGCTCAGTGAAATGGGTGGATATACTATGGTGTTACCTATTTTATAATCCTGCACACGTTGTGATGTTGTATGATGCGTTTTATGGCGAAGTTTAGGCAGCGTTCAATTTTGCAGCTATGTCTATGTGAGAATACCAGCTGAGTATCTCGTCCAAGTAAGAATCTAAAAATTTTACATTATCGGCTATGTTCACTGTGTAATGTGAACTATAAGCATTTTTTTACATTCAACAATCAGTTTCACTGACACCAAGAACTGAACTCATATATTGTGCCATCTATTTTCTCTTTCAACTCCTTTACGTTGTCGCCTGAAATCATGATAGTTATATTGTCAACATTATCTGTGATAAATTGGGGTAAATCATTAACGTAGACAACAAAGAGAAATGGTGCGAAAACCGAACCATGTGGTACCCTCAGTTGAATTGGATATAAATTGGATTTTATGCCATTGTATTTAACTATCATTCTACGGTTTGACATGTATGATATGAACCAATTAACAATGTTGTCAGGAACTCTGAGTGATAGTAGCTTGATGGCTGCAATCTCAGTGCAAAATATATGCCTTACTTAAAAAAAAATGACAGCATACATGTCAAGTTGCTGGTAAATTTTATTGAGCAGATGATATGTTGCCGTTGCAACTATCGCACAACAAAATAAACTCAAGCGGCCTCACACATCGATGCGAAACGCTTGCAGTTGTATTGGTTTTCTTTTACTTTGAAGGTTTAAGTTGAATTTTTGTTTTATGATGTTTAAAATAATAAAGATTATTGCAAATGATTACATTTTTGTTTGAGTAAACTTAATTTAACCAGAAGTTATTATCATAATTAACTATAAGCTGATGCGACACTATGACAGAAAAAATGTAGGCATAGGTATAAGCTCTGCTACCCTGCGAAACGGAGCAGCGCTGGTAATATAATCATTATCATTATTATTACTAGTACTGTTCAAGTAGACTTTTCCGGTAGCACAAAATGAGTGAGTGAAAGAAAACCGTCCAATTTTAGGTTTTTTATGAGATTTTTTTTGTGTTTGGATTATTGACAGTGTGTGTGTGTGTGTGTGTGTGTGTGTGTGTGAAAAATCCACTTCTGATCACCAATTGTAACGAATTAAAGAATTAACTGTCTTAAACAAATTTATTTTAACAATACTTCACTATCACAACTAATTTATTTACACCACTCAGTAACTAACGCTTAATTTATCTTCACCGTTTGTTAACCGCTCGATTCGCTTTCTTAGTACAGACTACTCTTCGGGACGAATAGCGACGTTTTTATATCGTCAACGAACGTTCCGGATCCCTCTGCGGATTTCGGGACCCATCCGGAGTTTTCGCGGTATGCGTCATGCGTTGGCTGACTGGGACACCGGTCAGGGCCGGCTTCAGATTCATTACATTATGCTATCTTAAAACTGAATTTTTTTCTTGAATGAAAAGAGCTGTAAATTTTTTGCCAAATTGATAGTACTTAACCCTTTTCATTCCAAAGGAAACCAGTTTCAAGATAGCAAGAACGTGGAAAATTGAAAAAAAATAATATCAGCCGATCGGTTTCAACTATTTTGTTGCTGATACTTGAGGTGTATTCAAGTTTACTCTAGTGAGCAACAAATTTAGAACATCTTTAATTCCAGAAAAAAACAGTTTCAAGATAGCAAGATCAGAAAAAAAATTAAATTTTTTTCGCTATATCCAAGGTTTAGCAACTAAATAGTAACTAAATCTTCTGTAAAGATCGAAGGAAAAATATATAATTAATTGAGTTACCTTGCTATCTTTATGTCCCGATAGAATTATTTGCGATTTCTAGGGATCGGCACGAGCAACAAAATCGTTGTTTTGGCAAGTAATTAGCAACTATTTAGCTACAAATTGATGTATTTTTTTTGAAATTTTGCTGGATTTGCCATGCTAGCCTGATAGGGCTTGAAAAATAACCTGATGGATTTAGTCCAAGAATGTATATTGTTGTTTATACAAATTAAATCATAACAAATCATTAGTTTGAATTAGAAAAGGATTTTTTTAAAGCGATTGAATTTCTAGCACTTTATTTCTTCATTATCAAACAAAAATGTGGGAAGGAAAACTTCTACAGAATAGAAGAAAAGTAACTTAATGAAAACTTACTTGAATGAAGCCACTTGAAAAGTGGCTTCATTTTTGAGTAAACGAGATATTAAAATTGCATATTGGACAAGTAATACGTTGAGAAAGTTAGTTGAAAATAATAAAGACAAAACATCCAGTATACAATCAGGAGTATACAAATTGAAGTGTGGAATGTGTACGAAGGTATATATTGAGCAAACTGGCAGAATATTTAGGAATTGAATCCAGGAACATCATATGAGCTATGTAAATGAGGAAATAAGTTCAACATATTCAAATCATCTCTTAGAAGAAAATCATAACTTTAACGAAGAGTTCGAAATTTCACACATAGAAAATAAATGTTTAAAACTTAATTATTTAGAAGCAATGGAAATTAACAAACTTATAAATTTGAGGAAGTATTATTATTATTCTAGAAGTGAAAACAAAATCCGAGTAGTAGGTTGTGGTTGAATGGATTTTGTACCAAACGTTTCGTCTGTTACTGCAGCAAATATCAGTGATATGTGCGTTGATTCCGATATATTAACTATATACTCACAGTGAACGCACTGCTGAAGTCGACCGCAGTAGTAGACGAAACGTTTGGTACTACAAGTTACATATGGCCACTTCTACCAGTGCGAATTTTGTCTTCATATGTATATGTAGATCTTGCTGGATTTTTTTTTCATATAAAAACTGAAGAACTACCTACCTCCTTTTTGATTAATGAAAAAAAAACCGTTTCGAAACAATTTCCTTCATATGAAAATTTAATTACACGAAAATCACTTTTTCTTATTCAGTATATACTCTTAAAATTCGTTATGGAATTGAAACAGATATCATTCATAGGAACGCTATACAACGTGAATGGAACATAATCATCTTTATTGTTGTACTTCGAAGTTTCGGGACAAGATACTTGTAATATCGACAACGTCCTACTTGCATCATTTTTGTCCAAATTGCATACACGCTGAGGTCACCTCTTGAGCCAGAAACTTTTTTGAATAACATTATAGGAGAAAACACTCGTTTCATTTATAACATTACAAATTAATGTCACCGAAAAAGACAACTCTGCTCGTGCCACGATGACACTACGTACTCGTATACGAGTACACACAATTATTTAATCCCGATTTCCCACATTATTTTTTCAATAATTGAGAAATAGAAAGCCATAAACGGTTTTTGTCCAAAACATTTGTTAGTATTTTTATTTTCTCAGATAGAAATATTCGCTCAAATGGGCGGAGAATCTGAAGGTATGGATGGAGAAATGGGTAGTGATATGGAAGCAGAAATGAGCGGTAGGGGCATGGGTCCACCCGGAATGGGTCCCTGTGGAATGGGTCCCCCTGGAAAGGGTCCTAATGGAATGGGACCACCTGGAATGGGTCCACCTGGAATGGGACCACCTGGAATGAGAGGAAAAGGGGAACCGACGCGTGAACAACCAAGTAATTCAACAGCTGCCAGCAACTCTAAATGATAAATGTAATGGTATTATCAAGAAAAATAGTTTAAGCCAATTTAAATTAGGGTGTGGTTTCAATAAAATATATTAGTTTTGATATTTGTTTTTATTTTATATTTCATTATATATAATCGATATTTGTGAGTATAGAGAGCCAGTAATTACTATTAATATAGAAAAGTTGAGGAAACTTAGCCAACTTGTGCAGCGTCCACTTTTTTCCTCATTTCTGAAAAAGGTAAGAATATGACTTGGAGAAGTTCAATAAATGTCAAAATATTTTTCCCCTTTTGTAGATGCATTTTTTTGTTATTGTTTAAGAAAGCTCTCATGCACGACTTTTGTTATCCTAGTCCAGTAGATTCAAAATAATACAGTGAGAGGATTTACGTAGCGGACAACATTGAAAAAAAAAGGATGATGCCAGTATAGACGATTCAGATGAGTCCATCTGAATCGGCTATACTGACATTCGCCAAAAGGATCAAGATAGGACACATAAAACTACGAGATGAAGAGTAACAATGTCGGAAGAGGTTGCGTATCTAGAAGTGATACTAGGCCCAATACCGACTAGAAATCAACATTGAAAAAAAATAAAATTGAAGCAAAGATAGCTTTGTTGCTGGCCAAATGCACCTATAGAAAGACATGGAGCCTCAAACCTTTATAAAGATACAATTTATGGGCGACTAAAATATTGATTGTGAAAGATAAACGATAAACGAGAGCCTCTATCGTGGTTTATTGTTAAACCAAGCTTCCAAATAGGTTATTTTTGAGCCCTGGTTTTATCTTGGAGCGAAAACTGCAGAGGAAGATGAAGATCGATTTCCCATTCAGCTGATGAAGTAAAGTGAGAGTATTGCATAGTTACAGTTCTGCATAGTAACATTACTAACATTGCAACAGACTGCAGTGAGCGATCGTTGTTAATTTTGGATTAGGTATGTTTGAGTTTTCTGTTAATATTATAGATTACATTTTCATAGAAGATGCACATGCGCTAACTTATGCTCTGGCTTGGCTTTTGAGGGCAGTAAAGTCCAACAATGCATTCGTGGTTTAGCTTAGTACCACTGATGAGATATATGACAGAGAGAAATATAACTGTCTGGGGTTCGATTGAAAATGCTTTGTTATTGACTCTAGTTACAATAATTGAAAAATACAAAGAATATGAAGTTTGAGGAAAATGTATTGATGTTCTATTCTTTCTGTAAATAGATTCATCTCACCTTATTTGAGGCATATACGTGCTATTCGGAAAATTATTCAAAATAAACTTCATATGAGCTTTGAATTTGGTGAGATGAATTCATTTATAGTTTGTGGTCAATATTAGACCATTTTTCCTAAACGATAACGCGTATTTTATATTCATCATTACAAATCATGAACTTCAAATACTTGGCGCAGTTGCTTTTTCAGCTGCAGGAACATCCGGAAAGACCTGCAGCACCCATCATCTGAATATATTGATCTGCCAACGTCCTCTCTTTCATGAAACAAAATATAGGGTGTCTCCAGTAGCGCCAATGAATTCAAAACATCGCCAGAACACTTCGAGACAATACTATCGTCAAACCAGTCCGTTTCGTCTTTGACCAATGCGTAATAATGACCCTATTCAACGCCAGAACTATAGTCAACAATGACTGCATGAAGATTATAATAGTGGTCTGCTAGATTGAATTGCCCATCTTTTTCGAACTTTCGTAAGACTTTGGTGCATCCGTCAGAGGTTGAGTCATGTTTGAAGATCATCTGGGTCATTATTAGATTGATTGGTGCCTCAGCTATACTTGTTTTCTTATAATAGTCAGTTAGTTTGGCCCATGTTTGGCAATACAGTTGATCATCACCCATTAAAAGTTCCATTTTCAGAGGATTTGACAAATAAGCTTTGAACGGGCTGGTTATCAGTCATATTGGGAAACGCTAGTTTAAGTTCCAGAAAATCACATACGTTTTTGCTACCTTTTGAACATTTACTACAAAGTAAACAAGTGGGAATTTTTCCAGCAAAAGATTTAGAAACACACGACGAGATCGACTGTACGGATTCATTTAATCCAGAGCGGTCAGAAGTATTGATTCGGCTATTTTTTGCTCACGAAGAGTATTCAACATGAACCTCAAAAATTCGAAGCCATCCCCTTGTTGTCCTAACGAGTATCTAGTGGAATTCAAAGACTCCAGGAAATCGGTTGCTTGGGAAAGATGATACATTCTTTCGAAACTTATTTACTCTAGATAGAATAACGCAAAAATCGAAATGAGAGCTGAATACAAAACATGGATTTCTTGAAAGTTGTACGACGAAGCCAAATTCAATGGATATATTATTAGAAATTTGTGATAGGAATAAGTTTCAGGACCTAGTGACGTATTTTAAAATGAGCATATAGAGAGAGTATAAATCACTTGTCGAGTGATTATCGAGGCCGTAATGTAGAAAATATAATTTATTTGATGTTCATCAAATTACATAAACTCTTGAGAATATTGGAAGATTTCACATATTGCGGTATCACATGAACGTTACCAATGGAAAAATTGCTGCAAAAAAACATGTCTATATTCAAAATTCCAAAGTTGAGGTGCACCAACTCTGACTACACCGTCAAGAACGAACGAAAAATATATACACAGTAGCAAATCACATTATTGTAATTGAAAACTCATCAAGACTATAGAAACATCTTTCTGACAGAAACGATTTCAATTTTTTTAAACAATGAAAGACTGCATATTGAATTCAATTTATTAGGCGATTAGTTGTAAATTCTAGGTCCTAAACGTTTTGGTGCAATTTGAGTTATCTTATACTTAGCCGCTCTAACGTGTATCACTTGCTTTTGCCGAGTTGAAGTTTCGTGTATAATGAAACTGTTTCTACATGAATATTGCCGCTGCAAATAAAAAAGATTCTACAAAAATAAAATTTCGATTATTGCCGTATATGTCCATACACTTAGTATATTTTTATGCACTGTTTGGAACCTTCGGTGTAATAATGAATATCACTGAAGTTTTTCGTAACACCATACCGTTATTTTAATACCTCGAGACGTGTTTCAATCACCACCGTTTTTAAAACGATGAAAACCAAAAATAATTATATCTCAGTTCCATACAAGGAATATAAGAAGGACTTTGGAAACATTTTCAAGGAACTAGGTATGAAGGTGGTTTTTGACAGAAGTCATACACTACAGAACTTTTTAGGAAATCCAATCAACAAAGTCGAGAATTCGGAAAAGTCTGGAATTTAAGAAAATAAATGTAAGGACTGCGATGCAAAATATTATGGACAGACAATAATATATCTATTAAAATAATATATAAGGAACCTTTAGCGCACTTAAAATATGGAAGACTTGTATAATCAGCGGTGGGTAATCATATATTTTGCAACAAAACCATTCCATAGACTTTAGTTCATTGAGATTAGTTAGACAAGTTAACAACAACAGGCATCTAGATGCCCATGAGAGTGTAGAAATAAGAAAACATAATAATATTATGAATAATGATAGTGGACCAAAACCTGATAATATACTGTATAGCTTGTTAAAATATTATTTCAATTATTAGATTCACCGGCCGCGGTGGTAGTGCGCCCTACTCATGATCGGAAGGCCGTGGGTTCGATTCCTGCCCCGACCAGATATTTTTCTTGAGAGAATTTATCTGGTGGAAGCTGGGATGATTCTGCAACCGTGTTAGGAATCACGAGTTAAAAGGTAAGACCTCGTTAGTCTTTAGCTCGCACAAGTTTCTCAACTTCTGAGAGTTGTCGTTCGTGTGGGGCTACCGTTGATTAACGGAAAAACAGATTTTAAAACATAAAACAGAAACCTGACTATTACATAAGGACACATTGCAAAATTATTTAAGACTAGTAGATAATGCAATATTGTGAAAGTAATTTTAAGACACTTAAGACGCAGGTAACTAGAAGAGGTACTTATGGTATAAATAAGGATAACATTGTAAGTATGTTTAGTTTGATCGTCCTCTAGGAGATGATCACTTGGTGATCGAAACACATGTAATATTCGACTTTAGTATACTGTAACGTACTCTCTCTGTCTTATTTTACAAAATCTCCACGCATAAAGTCCACTTTAAAAAGACCTGTATAAAAACACACTATGTTGTTGTTTGATGAGAAATTCACGATGAAGTTTTAATATCAATGGATACAATATCACATTACCTAACGGGCATATAATAATTTTAATTCAATAATCTTCTTTATATCCAATGAGGAGTCAACCTCTTTTGATGTGGTGACTTGTTTTATTGTATTGATATGTTTCAATTGTTTAAATGTAACATTCTTTTCGATACGGTCATCCTCGCCAACACTATTCCTTGAAGATGATAATAAATTTCATCGAAATTTTGGAATCTCCCTAACTATATCATTAAAGAGGAGCTGTTGGAAGGTAGGTTGCACTATACTCGTATCGTTTACTTGAACTATACAATAGTAGTACACTCTGAAAAAGATGCAAATTCAAGATGTCGCAGCTACAAAATGGCGGATAGGTATTTTTTCACACCTACCACAATAGGTGTATCGAATGGCAGGCCGTAAGATGGCCGCAACTACAAAATGGCGGAGGAGATGAGTAACAAAATCAGAAACTAAAAACTTGAAAATGAAATAGGTAAAAAAAAATATGATAAACGGTCTTATTGAAAAAAAAATGATGTAGATGATTACTAAATACTAAAAAATAATTCGGAAGGTCCTAGGCAGCAGCCATCATACCACTCTCCTCAGTAATCTACGGTATTAATCAGATAAGAAAATGATAAAATTGTTGGGCGTAGTATTTGCATATTCTCTCAGGTTACGGTACGCCCAACAATCGCATTATTTATTTATCTGATCAATACCGTAGATTGCTGAGGAGAGTGGTGTGATGACTGATACCTAGGACCTTGCGAATTAGTTTTCAGTTTTTAGTATACATTATCTACATCATTATTATATTTTTTTTCAATAAAGCCGTTAACATTTTTTTTAATTTTATTTTATTTTAGGGAATGTTCAAAATCATTTGTGATTTGGTTTTCTCAGAAGATATGCCATACCTGGTGCCATAATTATGTGAGCTCCAATTAGATTCAAAAGATGGGTTGATGTTGTTTTTTAAATACATGACATATTTGAAAATATTTTGGACCAACAAATATTGGTGTACAATCAATTCCGAAAACTAGTCTTATGATTATTCGTTTCTGCAGAAAATAGATTCTGACAACATTTCTCATTCTTAGACAACTCCTGCAGCTCAGTGAAATGGGTGGATATACTATGGCGTTACCTATTTTATAATCCTGCACACGTTGTGATGTTGTATGATGCGTTTTATGGCGAAGTTCAGGCAGCGTTCAATTTTGCAGCTATGTCTATGTGAGAATACCAGCTGAGTATCTCGTCCAAGTAAGAACCTAAAAATTTTACATTATCGGCTATGTGTATATGTGTTCAGTTCTTGGTGTCACTGACACCAAGAACTGAACTCATATATTGTGCCATCTATTTTCTCTTTCAACTCCTTTACGTTGTCGCCTGAAATCATGATAGTTATATTGTCAACATTATCTGTGATAAATTGGGGTAAATCATTAACGTAGACAACAAAGAGAAATGATGCGAAAACCGAACCATGTGGTACCCTCAGTTGAATTGGATATAAATTGGATTTTATGCCATTGTATTTAACTATCATTCTACGGTTTGACATGTATGATATGAACCAATTAACAATGTTGTCAGGAACTCTGAGTGATAGTAGCTTGATGGCTGCAATCTCAGTGCAAAATATATGCCTTACTTAAAAAAAAATGACAGCATACATGTCAAGTTGCTGGTAAATTTTATTGAGCAGATGATATGTTGCCGTTGCAACTATCGCACAACAAAATAAACTCAAGCGGCCTCACACATCGATGCGAAACGCTTGCAGTTGTATTGGTTTTCTTTTACTTTGAAGGTTTAAGTTGAATTTTTGTTTTATGATGTTTAAAATAATAAAGATTATTGCAAATGATTACATTTTTGTTTGAGTAAACTTAATTTAACCAGAAGTTATTATCATAATTAACTATAAGCTGATGCGACACTATGACAGAAAAAATGTAGGCATAGGTATAAGCTCTGCTACCCTGCGAAACGGAGCAGCGCTGGTAATATAATCATTATCATTATTATTACTAGTACTGTTCAAGTAGACTTTTCCGGTAGCACAAAATGAGTGAGTGAAAGAAAACCGTCCAATTTTAGGTTTTTTATGAGATTTTTTTTGTGTTTGGATTATTGACAAATATTACCACTATTTATTTTTAAATCAATTTCAACGTTATTCGTTTATCTCAATAAACGTTAACAACTATTTGGATTGGGGAATACTTAAAGTAATCTAATATGAGTCTACTCATATAAAAATTCAATAATTTTCCTATAGTAATGAAGTTCATTTCACCATGAGACTAGGTAGTTATATTTAGCTTTTACAATCATTTGCTGTTATCAACGGAAAAGTATTGTTATAACATAGTCGAATAACGAAATTGTACGTCGTCAATACATATTTTTACCTGGCTAGGGGACTAGTTTTTAAGAACCTACCCTTCCTAAATTATTCCTAGGGTATCCAACAAAACTCATAATTCTATAAACCATTCAGTTGAAAAGTAACGCTGTACGTAACGTTTTCTAGTAGTAAAAGATTTTAGCTTGTGATTGTCAGGGTCGTGTTTTCTGACGTTATTCTATAGGATTATTTGAAGAAGTTGAGGTAATGTAACACTCACAAAGTTATTGTCATGAAGTATAATAATTCAGTTCAGTAATATATTATTTGTTTTTCTATGTCAAAATTGAGTAGAAACTTATGCTACAAATATATATACAAATACTAACTGTTGCACACGACTTCGTTTTGAGGACTTCAGTTTTGAGTCTTTTCAAGTTTTGGCTTTCTAATTCTCCATCTTTATACTGAAGATGTGGAAATCTTCCGAAAGACAGAAGCAATTAATTTCAAAATAAACTCTTAAAAAAGATGTGTAGATCATGCAAGGAAGTAACTTTCAGACACAAAATGAAAAAAAAAGGCATTTTCAAAACAACTGCCTTTATCTTATTGCCTCTTCAGCACCAATCAGGATAAAATTATAAGATGAAACACTCAAATCATTCATAATATTACGACTTCATGTAACGAATGATTAGACTCTACACACGTTATCGATGATATTCATTCGCTCATTTGAAAATATGACCGAAACTTGATGAAAATCTATTATAACCTATTCAAAAAACACACTTCAATATTGGATTTCCATTTGAACTAAGTGGAAATCTCTCAAGTGAAATCTCTCATTTGCTGACATGAGTAGATTTAATGTATTACAGTACATAAATGAATTTGTTATTACAGTGGCTACAAAAATCGATGAAAAAAAACTAGATGTCCGTATTTAAATAATATAAAATTCATGAAGAGATATGATGGACGAAACGTCGCATTCAAAATTGGTTTATATCAGACTATAACACTATAACAACTATGAAACAGTATTGAAAGACACATGTTTCTAGCTCATTTGTTGTAATCAGTAGGTACAGTATAGCCAAGTGCAAGGTTAGGAAATCTTTGGGTGGGAATGCATCGTTCATGAATTTTATCTGCTTTTGATTGTATCAAATCAACTCGCTGAATTATGATCTATATCGAATACTAGACCGGATGTCACGCAGATAGCCAAAGCTGCCTCATAGTGACTTTAGTGATCTGTAACCAGAGATAACCTGACTGAAACCACAAAATGCGGCTGGCTTCTGTTGATGACTCCGTGCATTTGTGTTGTTTCTGCAACCAAGTGTTTCGTAACCTTGCACTTGGCCGTCCCGTACAGCTAATGAGCTAGAAATACGTGTCTGCGGTTTGCATATTTTTTGAATGTTTCGTTAATGAATTTTCCCTGCTTGATTGTATCAAATCAACTCTCTGAATTGTGATCTATATCGAATACTAGACCCGGATGTCACGCAGATAGCTAAAGCTGCCTCATAGTGACTTTAGTGATATCTCTAACAAGAGATGACCTGACCGAAATCATTAAATGCAACTGGTTCCTGATGATGACTCCGTGCATTTGTGTTGTCTCTGCAACCAAGTATTTCCTAACCTTGCACTTGGCTATAGCGTACTGATGACAGCTAATGAGCTAGAAACACGTGTCTGCAGTTTGCATATTTTCGAGTGCTTCGTCTATGAACTATCCCTGCTTTTGATTATATCAAATCCACTCGCTGGGGCACTAGAAATAATCAGAAAGGAATATAAATCAGAAGAACATATCATCACCTTGGCTGGACATTGCATCAAAAACACGTATTTCATCTATAACGAGCAACGATATATAAAAAATGAGGGTACACCAATGGGCCGCCACTATCTCCCATCGTTTTCAATCTCTTCATGGAAGAAATTGAAACCAAAGCAGTGGAAATGCCAGACTTGAAACCAAAACTCTGGCTGAGATATGTCGTGATTCGTTCACACGGACACTAAGAACTTTCATGGTTTTTCGATCACCTGAATCGAATCTATCTACGGAATAAATTCACGAAAGAAGTTTGAGAAGGTAACTAGCTCGCATTTCTCGATTTGTTGATCATGAAAAAGCCTGACGGTATCTGCCACACCTATGAATTGAGAAATATAGTTCCAGAGAATCAGTCTAGGTCCAAACTCCAGTCATCATCACATCACACTGAATCAACTGCAGAAACAGTTCATGACTAGCTGAAATTATATTTGTTTGGTCGTGATATGGTTCACACCGTTCTGAAGAGACCGTGTCCGGTACTGATGACGGGGTAATTCTATATCGTGGAAAGAATTGAAGAAATATGTGGTTATCAACTACCACAAGCTTGAAACAATTCTGGATGGTTGAATATAAAAACAGACATAATTTTATTTTAATTTTATCTAATTTCATTTTGAATTCGTCCTAATTTTACTACTCTTTCTCCCTTACTATATGTCTTGCTGTCATTCCCCTCTATTCATTTTTATTTTTTCCTGTCTCTCTCTAATATGTAAGTGAATAAATTATCTAATAGTATTGTGTATTGTATGTGTATTTACGTAAGTGTATATTCGTAATGTATATAAAATATGAATTTATGTACCTAATTTGGTTGCTGGTTACGACACAAGCTCAGATTAGGTAGCCACAACCTGTGTTATTTAATATTTTCAATGAAAGTCCCAATTTATTGTTATTGTATACCTGAATGTGAGTTCAGAAATGAAATCTGAATCTGATCTGGAATCTTTAAAAATATTCCGGCTGTCACTATCAAGAAACAACATCGATAGCTCCTCCTCCGAATTAGACTATCAAATATTGACAGAGAAGGCAATTTGCGTTCCATCACTATATTCTGTATACTCAACTAAGGTCGAGTGCTTAGAATAACGGTGCGTTTATACTGAACTCAGTCTAAACGATCTTACGAAAAAGTTTGATAGTGATATAGTTAATTTCACAACTTATTTTTTTTTGTTTCAGGGTAAGATGGAAAAACAGAATGAATCTGCGATTTTAGAGGAACTTCAATGTCCAGTTTGTGACTGCTATATGAGCCCCCCAATTTTCATATGCAGTAAAGGACACAGCATTTGCGGAGAATGCTTCAAAAAAGTTAGAATATGTCCAAAATGTCGTTGTTCAAAACATAATACAGCAAGAAATTATTCACTCGAAGCTATATACGCTAAATTAAATATACCATGCAAGTATACAGAATCTGGTTGTGACGTAGTTCTTCCTGGAGAATGTATAAAGAAACATCAAAATGTTTGTAAATATATCGAGATATTTTGCCCCTTTAGATATTATGCTGACTGTCAATGGAGGAAACATCGAGGAAATTTGAAATGCCACCTTCAGGAAAGACATCCTCTCAGTTTCTACACAAGGGAAAAACAGAAATTTTTGTCTCCAAATTTCATTGCTTTGAAATGTTACCATTACATATATGCAGTAATTTATGCTCATCAAGAATTTTTTAGACTGACTTGGGATATCAATGGAGTAACAGGTGAGTGAATGCTGAACATATATAACTAGATTTACTATTTTATAACAAATCATTAGCAGTGCTCTTCAAGTGCGAATAAAATGCTCACAAATAACCCAGTTTTTCACCTTCATTTGACAGAATATTCTCATTGTTAATAAGTGGATACAACTTGATGCCAAATGAACTTATAAACTCTGTATAGAATTGAGAATGGTTTGTGTTTTTTCATTTAATTCTGACAAATACTTATGATTAATACATTTTTGAATCGTTATGATATATAATATGTACTTTGGCAAAGAAACATTTTAGTATCTTGTATGAAGATGGAGAAGTAGAAAAACAAAACCTTTCTTTCCCAAAAACTAATCTCTTGTATCCCTTCCATTTCAAACTATGAAATTTAAGTGTGAATTATTTAATGTCTCTGTATACTGTTTATAGTATGTCTGACTTTTTGTTTTACATAAAAGAAAGAGTGCATAATATTATAGTCGGCAACGAGAAAAAAGAATGAGTTTGCGCGAACAAAAGAAATTAGTGATAAAAAGATGGCATCGTCCATGTTGATCAGAAATGTGCGAGAATTTTGCATTCGAAATTCGAACTAGAGTATTTTTAAAGCAAGATTCGAGCAATATTTCTTTGCTAATGAATCAACGGAAAATGACGTGAAGAGGGCTATTCTTCTGAATGCGTGCGATAAAGAAGCCTACAGGTTGATTCATAGTATTTGTCTTCCTAAAAGTCCGGAAGGAAAAAGTGGAACTGCGTGACAAACATTTCAAGTCTACACTCAGTGCTTTTGCGGCGAGATATGAATTTTATAGTGCCATTAAAAGTAAAAATGAAACACTTTAGCAGTGGACAGCGTGAGTAAGATGTTTAGCTGGAAGGTGTGCTTTTGGAATCGAGCTCAATGTAGTTTCACGTAACAAATTTATCATGGGACTTGATGTGAAAAATTCCCGATGAAAAAATCACAGTCGACTTCGACAAGGTCATAGAAATAGTGAGCAGCCAAGTTTAAAAAACGAAGATGAAAAACAGCCTACGAGTAAAACAAGAAGTTTTTTATCAACACATGGGTCAACGGAATCCATAACACCGAAATCGTCTGACGTCAGTGCTTTGACAAGCAAGGTCAAGTGGCGGGGAACGGGGCACTCCAATCATTAGAGTAATAACATCTTCAACAGGCAGAGGATGTTCGACGAGAAACATCGCAACATGGAGTCAGATTATGACGGGTCGACGCCGTCGACACAGAATTGTAAACACACAAATACAAATGTTCTCCCATCATACAAAAGATAAGTGTTTTTTCAAAATTCATTCATGTAATATTCGTATACAAGAGGGTCATCGGAATTAGATGTTGGCGAGGATTTATAATCAATGTTTACTATAACCTCAAAACTAAAACAATATGATACAATTTCTTTGGATGACTGAATTTTTGGCAGTGTATTTTTGTTTGAATTGGATACGGAGGCCTCAGTTTCAGTAGTTTCCAATGAATTTCAGTAAAAATATCTGAACCGTTTTATGTTACACTCTGCAAATGTCTAGTGATAATTGATCAAAAATCAAGCCAATAAATTATATATCTATGCAAATAATGCTTACAGGGAAATCACCAATTCTACTACATTGATCAAGACGGAACACCACTGTTGGGTCTTGATTTTTTCAATTCATTCAAGCTTTCAATTAATGATTTGAATGAGACTTACTTTGAGAGAGTTGACAGTAAAAAAAAATACTTCTTTACCTTCATTTATCATCTTCTTTAGGTTGATATAATGATGGCACTATAGATTTGGTAAAAGCAGGAGCACAGCCATAGTTTTTTAAGCATCAACTTTTGCACTTGTGATGCACTGTTTGGAACCTTTGGTGTAGTAATGCATATTACTGAAGTTTTTTCTCAACACCAAACCGTTATTTTAACACCTCAACACATGTTTCGGTCACCAAGTGATCATCATTAAGAGGCAGATTAAACTAATCCTTATTTATACCATACATAGGTACAGGTATCTACCTGTTCTAGGTACCTGCGTCTTGAGTATCTTGAATTCTATTTTACTATCCTTTTCTATCCCATTAGTTTTATATAGCTTATAATATTTCAATCATTAGATTCACTTAACTATTACATAAGGACACATTGTAAAATTAAATTTAAGACAAGTAGATAGGGCAATATTGTGAAAAACAGGTAGATACCTGTATCTATGTATGGTATACCTGTATACCTGTATGTTAAAAATGAGGCTACCTTTGCAAGTATGATTAGTTTAATCTTCCTCTTGAAGATGATCACTTGGTGTTCGAAACACGTGTCGAGGTGTTAAAATAACGATTTGGTGTTGGGAAAAACTCCAGAGTAATATTCATCAACTTTTGCCTTTTGCTATGCGTGAAAGCATTGAACAAGGCAACACAAATATTTTATGGTTTTTGTAATAAACCCGTTAGATTTTCAAACTAAATTGACTCAGATCTTTCAGAAGGTCTTGATCTTGAAAGTAGTCATTTGTTATCTTTCCCTTTGAGGAAAATTTAATTTAATAACCAAATGATAAAAAAGCACTTTAACATTATGATATGAATTTTTTGATTTGAAAGGGTTATATTTTTAGGAGTGATTGATTTTTTGGGAAAGAAAGTTTTTGGCTTTCTACTACTTTATCTGATACAAAAAAAATGGATGAGAGAATCTTCCAAAGAAAGGAAGGATTAATCAATTTGTATCAGATGGAGTAGTAGAAAGCCAAAAACTTTCTTTCCCAATGAATTTTTTGTTCATTCAATATTGAGATCATATCCGTCTCCCAGGGACGTATCCTGAACTCTTCTTTGGATCAGTAGAAAACTTTTCAAAATAATTCGATATTTACGGAAAAATTCACAATTTCTAACCTAATAGTAGGTACACATTTAAATATTTATTCGAACTATTTTTTCACAGGTATGACAAGATGGGCTCTGTATTTCATAGGACCTCCGGATACAGCAAAACTTTATTCATACAAACTGGAATTTTACAAAACCAAGAAAGATGCTCATGCCATTTCTTTGACGTTCAAGACTATATGCGAACCTAAACCCGAAAATGACACTATGAAGTTTGTGGAACATCACTGTTTTTACATACATAAGACTTTATTGAATGATTATTGCAATGACAAAGGTGAACTAAATTATAAAGTAACTATTTACAGACCTAATAATGATCATGTTACTGAAATTGGTTCACTACTCGATGATGTAAACTTTAATGATAATCGAAGTGATCAGAGTGAATGAAATCACTAACAGAATGAGAGATGAGCATCATTTTGATATTTTAGACAAATTTTATCATACGAAAGTGCAAGGACATCTTCCTTACGAAGACGATATCTGTGCGATGGGTGAAGACAATTATACACAGGTTCCACTTCTTTTGTACCAGTTTACATGTTTAATTAATTGTATTATACTATTTTTACTGCCCTGAATAAGCTTCCCAATGAGAAGCGGAAGCTTCACAAAGTAACACAGAGTTTTTATCAAAACTAATTAATACAGTTCTTTGTATGATTTTCACTATAGTGGAAATTATACAACAAACTGTATTAATTAGTTTTAATATGGAATTTCATCAAGTATCGGTCAGTTCTATTCAATTAGAGTTTTTATTCTCGATTTTTGCCTGAGATATCACGTTAATTTATTTCCCTGTACAAAGAAAAATTTCCAAGTGATTATACAAATGTTACATGTCGAAAAAAAACAACAAAATGGTGTTTTTTGGGTTATACACGTTATAAATCATTTGAAACCAATCCCCACTGTTTTATTAACTCTAGAAAACTTTGTTGTGAATCAAATCACTGAGTATAATTCATAATAAAATGCAGAAAATGTGAATTATGAGTAAAAAATATGACTAAGTGACGGTGGTGTCCATTTCAGAAGGATTGGTGATGTTTCGTAAGATACTTGCATTTGCTTCCATTTTTTTTGGTTAAAATAGATTATCACCGGAAGAGAAAAATATGCTCTTGTCATGATGACAGGCTGGGATTGAGTGAACGTATGAATGGGTTAATGCGTCAAACTAAACGGACTGGTTTAAGTTTGACGATTGAATATTTTTGATAAATGAGAAATTTGACTTTCTTTGAGTAATTCAGGTCCGAATATACGGAACTATTTTTTTTCGCACCCAAAGAACGTATGGTACGCAAATCTGTTTAGGCACGTCGATAGATATACTTTAGAAGAATATATTGTGAAANACACAAGTTGTCATGTTGGCATAATACTCCGCCAATTGGTGAAATAACTTGATTTGCTGTTCGATCATGCAAATTTCTGACACAAACTCGAAACAAAAATTTTACACAAGAGTTCATTTCTGAATTAGTTGCTTTCTTTCTTTCTTTATGAGTTTATATATGAAGAAAGCCAAAACATTTCTTTCCCAAAAATTATTCTTCCCTGAAAATATAATCCATCCAGCTCAAACAAGATTTATACGGCTGGGAAACAATCAAATGAGTGAATGAATATAATTATGTACTGTCATTGATGACATTAGTAGATTTAACTCATTAGTGATATAAAAAAGTGTTTTGTGTATAATTCAATGTTTATATGAAAGAAGTTGTTTCTAGAGGGCTTTTTCTCCCCGTTTGTGTCTAAAAGTTACTTTTTTGCACGATCTACACTTTTTGTAAAGAATGTATTTCGAAATTATTTGTTTTTTTTTTCATTGGGAGTTTCCCAAATTGTTGTATAAAGATGAAGAAGTAGAAAGCCAAAACTTTTCTTTCCCAAAAATTATTTTCTCACAAAAATATTCCTCTTCGAACCATTTTGCGAAATCTTCAAAAGAAATAGATAAACCTTCAGAATTCACCTTCAGCTCTTTATTATTTTTGAGAGGTTATCGGAAGATATCAAGGATGTTTCATTGGGAAGGATTCGATCGTGACTGGGTTTGAAATCCTTCTGGTTATTTGTAGGTTGTTTGAAAACTTAGGAATTTTGTCAAAATTTTTGTTGTGGAACATTAGTTGTTGGTTGAATATTTCTAGGATGAGAAAAAAAATTGGAGGTCGATATTGAATAAATGGATGATGATTTTATAATTGATCATTTCTTGTATTGGCATAAGGTGTTCGTAAACGATGAATAATTCTGAAGATATAAAAGTGAGCCAGTTTTTTTAATGGAACACTGTGTATTTGAGGTAAGTTTTGAAATTCCGAAATGAATTTGATTCATTTCCATGAAACATTGCCTATATCAAAAATCAACTGTTCATATGGAACGCCGTTTTACTTTTTATTGTCACAAATATTCATTCCTCAATTCATTCACCTAACAATTTATTTGTTTGAATTTAATTAATTCATGCATTTGTTGGACACATTAAAAACAATTGTTCGCAAAATTTGTTCTATTTTAAATGACACTTGATTTAAAATGTTACATGAATAAAATTGTTATTTGAATAAAAAAGAATAATGAAATAACTTGAATCTTTTATTGATTCCAAAGAAAAATATTGTTTCAGAGTATTGGAAAATGGAACGCCAATTTACTATATATTATGCTGAAAAATAATCTATATACATATATTCAACTCAGCAATGAAGAAACATTTTTATTCAATAGTCAATGGAATGTATTATTCGAGTAAATTCAACAAACTTTTCAATTCCGCATATAATTTTGACCTTTGAATAAAATGTTAGTTATTTATATGACTGTTGAATTATAATGAAACTTTAAATTCACTTTTTAAAAGTAAGTTTGGGAATAAAATTTCAATGAATATATTTGAATGACTGTCAAAGTTTTCCCAAGAAACATTGTTGGTAATAAAAATAGACTTTCGTTTGTCTGAAAATATAGCAAATTAACTTTCCATACTAAATATTTTTCTATGAATAATAAAGATTGTTATATTTCAATTTTATTGAAAGTGTTGAATATTTCCAACATTCACTTTAATGCATTTAATTTTAAATTTGGTTACAACTTTTGTGCAAAACATTCTCAAGCAAGTATCATTTTATTTCATCAATCTTTTTAAAAAGCTAATTTCTGACAAAAAATTAAATTTTTTGATGATTTAAAAAGTTTGTTGTATTTGAAAGATACATTTAAAACGATTATTGATAATTTTAATTCGGCGCTGGTATCGAGCGGACTTATCAAGAACTTCAAGTGTTACATATGGCAACATGCTAGTTCATTAATAGTACGACAAAACGCCGTTCAACCGTGGCGCCGAATAAAAATTATAAACAATCAATTTAATTCATGTCTCACTGGCGTGGCATGCCGCTATTGGTATTTTGTAAAAATAAATTGTTTTGACTGTTGCATTTAGGTGATACCTACATGAATTAAATTGATTGTTGATAATTTTTATTCGTCACTGCGATCGAACGGATTATTATCGTACTATGACCAACGCCATACATATATTCAGTTATGTAGTTCCACAAAAATACGCCCGACATCAGCGCCGAATAAAAATTATCAACAATCAGTTTAATTCATGTATCACTGAAATTCAACAAAAAATAATAATCCAGCTCATTTCAAAGGAATATTAGTATAAAGTAAAACGGCGTGGCACGCCGTTTTACTGTCTATTGGTATTTTGTAAAAATGAATTGTTTTGATTGTTGCATTTAGGTGATACATGAATTAAATTGATTGTTGATAATTTTTATTCGGCGCTGTAGTCGGACGGAATATTGTGTTACTATCACTAGACTATCATGTTGCCAGATTTAAAAATTCAGCTTCTGCAAGAATCCGCTTGACGCTAGCGCCGAATTAAAATTATCGTTTTAATTCATGTAACTATAATTATCAACAAACAATTTAATTCATGTTTCACAGAAATTGTAGCAAATTATTCGATATTTACAAAAAAAGTATATATTATGACAAACATTTACATCCAAAATTTCAAACAATGAATCTATATTATAACTGTTCGCCACTTTTCATCAAACAAATTAATTCATGTAACATTTTAAATAAAGTGTCATCTAAAATAGAACAATCGTTTCAAATGTGTTGAACAAATGCATGAATCAATTAAATTCAAACAAATAAATTGTTAGTTGAATAAATTGAGGAATGAATATTTGTGACAATAAAAGGTAAAACGGCGTTCCATATGTTCACGAGATATTTAATTTTTTTTAAAGAAAATAAACATGCTCATGTCCACTATAAAACTACGGGCTACAGTAACAAACAGTTATTTTAAAATATGTTCGAAGACATTATAGCATGACTAATTTCATCGGTATCTAGGGCGTTGAATGCTATCAAAATGTTCTTACCATATTCTCCTTACTTGTTGCAGGATCTGCGTATACAGTATTTTCAATATGTCCCCATACATAAAAGTCAATAGGAGACAGATCGGGGGAACGTGCTGGTCAAAGGTACAGTATAATACGCCTACGGAACCGCAATTATGTGGTAGTGCTCCTTCATCCGCCACATCTTCAATTGATAAATTGAACTGCAACTCTCACAACACTTTGTAGTATTTTACAGTACCCTTCAAAATTCAAAATTTCACAATAGATGTATAAACGCAGAATCCTATTGTATCTTGTAACACCATAAACGTTAAAACTTTTTTGGAAATATCGGTCACGGGTAAGGTGACCGAGGATTTTCGTAAGCCCAAAACTGAGTATCAGACGAATAAATAATTCATTTTTGGTAAACTCCATATAATTTTTTCATGAAAATGTTGATCTTCCTGACTTTCTATCGGCAACCATTAACAAAACTCAATTCGACGGTGCAAATTCGTAACTTACTGATGGTGTACCAGATGGTTTTTGAACGTTTTATTTACGCTTTTTCAAAATGTGGTGAGAGGTTTTGGATTTAACTGGTAGGTTTTCCTTACAATATTTTCACATACATTCGTATGAGCAGCAAAATATCCAAAAACATCATTATGCAAAATATTTTTCAACAGCCTTTTTACCGTATTGTAATTCGGTTTGAGTATTTCCAGATATCTTTTGGCGAATAACGATAATTCGATAAAATTCACCGTAGATCAATGTCAAATTCAAAAAAAACTCTCGTTTGTATAACCTAAACGGGACATTTTGCTCACATTTTGTTCCTATTATATTGAATGATAAAGTAATAATGAACGATAGATAGAAAATTTCATCCAATCCCTAGATTCCGATGAAATCAGTCGTGCTGTAAATAAAAATTTGATGAAGAGAGTTAATAAATGCCTGGAAAGTGTAGAAAATGCCTTCGAACATATTATTTTGAAATAGTTTTTATATTTTGTGAGAAAAAATAATGCAATATTTCTTTAATTTTCGCTCATTTATGAAACACTCGGAATAAATATTTTCCAATTCATTATTTATTCAACTGGAATCACATCTTCAATAAAAATCATGACGGAAACTGAATAGCGCTGATAAACTTTCTGTAACTATTCGAAATGAAGGTTTCATAGCCCGTAGTTTTATGGTGGAAAAATGGGTGGAAAAAGGGTGAAAAAATGGATGAAAAAATGAAAAATATCGTGAACGGTTGATTTTTGATATAGGAAATGTCTCATGAGAATGAGTTTCTGAATTTCAGAACTATCTCAAAATACTGGGTGTTACATTTTAAAAAACTTAGTTTCGACTCATTTTCATATCTTCAGAATAAGTCATCCATTCCGAACACCTTGTAGACCTACAAGATGATTTAATGAAATGATTTGATGAATCGATAATAGCTTATTTATATATTCTATCAAACATTTGAATTT